GGTATTTAGGCCCCTGTAAATGCCCTTTGCCTCCTAGTTCATTCCTCTTATTTCTTTTTACTTTCCTCTGAGGACAAGGCTTTTGTATCCACTTTATTAACTACTACTTTCTCAGTACTCTGATTAGTGTGTGCATATAATAGGAACTTAATAAATAAAAATATTCAAAATATATGGGGTTCCTCAAGCCTTCCCCTGTCCCCTCTCATAGCAGTACAGTATATTCCAGCTCAGAATTTCCTGCATCATATAGAAAGTCTTGTAAAGGCTTTTCTGTCTCTCTGGTTCTTCTTACCTCATTCTCTTCTACTTTGCTTTATCAAACCTGCAGGGGTGTGTGTGTGTGTGTGTGTATGTATGCATCATTAGGAGAGGATAGCTGAGTAAATATGACAAGGGATAGAAAATTGAAAAGGAACCCCGAGAATAATAACATGAGCATTAGTAAGACCATTGTATTAAAGAAAACATTGGAATATATCAAGAAATAACAGAGTAGTAAAATGAATCCTCAGCTTTGCGTTGTCCTGCCTCAATAGTTGTCAATTATGGCCTTTCTTTGAACAAGCTGGTGGTAGAGTGGTTGTATGTTGGGCTACTAATAGCGATGTCAGAGGTTTGAACCCACCAGATGCTCCTTGAGAGAAAGATGAGACTTTCTGCTTCCAAAAAGTACAGAGCCTTGAAAACTCAAAGGGGTGGCTCTCTTCAGTCTTACGGTTTCTCAGTGAGTCAGAATCAAGTCAATGGCGGTGAGTTTGTCTTTAAAAACAAAAACAAAAAACACCCCCAGCATTAAATGTGGTAATTGTCTATGATAATGGACTGTCCCCGCACTGGAGACACAGTATGGGAATTAACGCCCAATCTGATCCCACCACACCAAGGCAAAACACTTAACGGTGGCGTGCAACAGAACAGCAAGGGGAACAGAGCAACGAAGTCCCCAGGGAATACCAAAAATAGACTTTGGGGCAGGACTTGGTGTCCCATCGGACTCAACCGGAAAACACTCCTAAAGGCCAACAAACAGTCCTTGAACTAACTACAAGCTTTTCTTTGTTGTTGTTGTTTGTTTTCTTTGGTTAC